ATGCATATTTACACACATGTATGTACAGGTCTTTATAAGTACTTTACTCTTTTTTTTAAATCTCTTTTCCTAATGCACATTCCTTTACTTGTTGATATGTACGTACACATTGAGAGCCACTGTACGAGAGTCATATTCCTCGTGTGTCCAACACACCTGGCCAATAAAGCTGATTCTGTTTCTGAGAGAAAGTATGGTTCTCACTTTGATACCAAAAATAAGTAAAAAGCATTCATGATCCATATACTGATGCTAATCTGTATTTTTACTCAAGTAACATTTTTAATGCAGGACTTTTACTTGTAACAGACTGTGGTATTACTACTTTAGTAAAGAATCTTGGTGCTTCTTCTACCACTGTAAATAACTATTATAAATAGCAGTCATGCTCCCTCCAATATGGCTGAGCTGCAAATTCTCTGCTGTGTTCGTCTCCAGGAGACAAACACGTCATCAAAGTGCACGTTTTCTCTTCTGCCTGTAAAACCCGAGTCACTATTCCTGGAGCTGAACTAGATGTAACTGGCAGCTGTGTCGGCTGTTGGCAGCGCAGCCTAAAATAATAGCCAAGCAACTGAGGTGGTGTTATTGTGTTTAGTTTAGTTCTTTCTTTTTTTTTATGAAAATTACCACGCAAGTCAAAGTTGAGGGATGTACCACATAAAAAAATTACAGTAAGTAAAAATAGGAAGAGTGGGACAATAACATAAAGGCCTGTTGTGCTGAGAAACACAGTGCTGCACAAACATGAACACCTGCTACATTATTTTTTTCTCTCTACAGAACATTAACAAACCACAGTGGTTTCTTTTTGGGTGGCAGTATCAGATCTATCAATCTTCACCTTAATTTGCATGAATACAATAAAACTAGCTATTTAAATACCACAAAAATGTATAATTTCCTTGAAAATAACCTGTAAAATTAAGACATGACATAGCTATGCTAGCCTTAGCTAAGGCTGAATCACCTTTACTTCCTGATTTTTCTCTAGCTGTGATCAGTTATTGATATACAGTATACTGTATGTAATGAACAAACATAGTTTGTTATTCCATATCACTTCATGATGCAGTAGTTAATTCAGTCAAACAGAAAAAAGTTACACTTCTGCTAATGATCGCTAATGTTATCTTAGCACAGTAGCAATAGCTGCCTTCTTAGCAACAAAATAAAGACACACAAACATTTCACTGTCTTACAGTACCTTTTAGCTTATCCAAAGCCTGAGTCCAGTATCTGCAATTTTTAGATATTATCCATGTTCTTAATCAGCCTAAACAGGCATAAAATTAAGGCATTACAACCCTTAAGTCTCTTATAAGATAGCTAAAAAACACAAACTGTTATTCTCAGTGTGTCTGTAGTTGCTTTTGTGCCTTTGTAGAGCAACTCTGGCCTCTAAAAGAGGATGCTTGTATTGTTTAGCATCCCTGCTTATGTGCAATTGATTGGTCATAATGATGAACAGCACAGCGTATGTTTACACATGTAAGTTTGCTTTATGAATTATGGATTTAATTTATAATGAATAAAAAGTGAATTAAAAATACTGTATAAAAAGATACAAGGAGAAAATTAAATATACACTGTAAAATGTTTCAGTGCCTTGCTGTTCTTACTGGGAGTTGGCCTCTGACACTTTGAGCAGCTGGACAAAGCGGTCCAGCAGCGGCATGCAGATGGGTCCCAGCAGCATCTCGAAGCTGGGCTGCATCAGCTCAGTCAGGCCCTTCATCAGGTTGCTTTCACAACAGTAAACCTTGTTGTGGGGCGTCACCATGTACGGGATGAAGGTGTAGTTGGCTGAGCATGTCTGTTGACACAAGACAATGTTAGAAAACAGTTCTCAGTACATTAGATAATTAGAGTAATGACTGTTAAGCCCTCATGAACAAGTCTCCAGAAACAATAAAACTATTATCAGCTACAATTTCATGACAACTATGCAACAACTGCTGAGGAACACTGTATGATGTGACTGAAAGCTTGACCTCATGGTGAGATTTTGTCAAAAACTCTGTCAAGAAAAGGAAATACTAAATATTAATTTGCATTTATCCTCCTCATTCTGTAAAAGAGCTATAAATACACTCATGCTGGGCTTAGCACATAAAACTGTAATAAATGTAAAGTAAATAAATGAAGAAGGTTTGTGGCTATATACTACGTGTACCCTCCCGGTCTTTGTTTTACAGTTTTTAAAGTACATTTACAGATTATAATACAATATAAGAAAATATGCTTTCTACAATTACTAATTAGGAGCAACTCTATGATGTTTGTAGTTTAATAATATTAGACATATTGAGCTATCATATGTATTAGTAACTAAACTTAGTGTACTGTACCATAAGCAGTTGTTTCCTTACAAGGTGTGTTTACAGTGCAATAAATACAATTACCTTATCTAAATTATGTAACAAACACCTTGCAGCTGAGTTTATAGGCACTGTATAGTGAAACATTACATTGTACTGGGAGGAAGCAGGTAGCTTGGAGGAAGTCTGAGCTGTTTCCCCTGTTTGAGACGCTTTCAGATAATGACACAAGGCTTCATCTTTGATCCATCTGCACAGACAATCGTGTTTATGAGGCGTTGTCTTCACCTAGCCAGTCTAAACAGGCAGCAGTTGGACAGAGAGATGTGTATCAGTGGGGACAGCCCCATTAGCAGCTGCTTTCTTAGAACCATAAACTCTTAAAAATTCACCTTGTTCATGCATCCTGATGCTCATGAAAACCAAGCAGAAAGAGAAGTCCTGCTGCTGTGTCATTTGCAACAGCTGTGACATTCAGGAGTCATTTTTTCACGTCTCTTTCAGTTTTAGCTGCAGCTGTGGCGCCAACAGTGCTCTTCTTTATTTATTTAGTGATAATTCTAGATATCCATATTTAGTCTGGGGGGAGATTTCAGTGTTCTGAATCTGTATTTGTTCTAACTTGACTTTATTCCGCATCAGTGGTCATGATGCGCCTGTGATTAAACAAAGAGGAAATGTGCATGTGGTGAAAACACACAGCACAGAGAGGCGGAAAGAGAGAAAGGAAATCCACTACTGACATCCTCAAGAAACAGCAGAGCTTCTTTTCGAGGAGAGCTATTCCCAGAATGTCACATGTGTGGTGAAACAAAAGACGAGAGCATCTGAAGGCGGTTGAGCCGCTACCCAGCTGCATCCTTGAGGCTTTAATATTCTATCACGGTTTCATCTTTTCAGCAGCCTCTTTGAGATGACACACTGCTACTGCTTTTCTCTCTCTCTGCCAACAGAAAAAAGGAAGTGAAAGGAAGGTGCAGTGATGAAGCAGTGAAATGCATCCGCAGATAAATACTTCCTCCTCTGAAACAGCAGTTAATTACTTCACTGGGTGCTGCAGTGGTGGTGCATGCCTTGAGAAAATAAACTGTGACCCATGCCTCTGTTAGGACAAACCGGACAGGTTGCAAAATCCTGACGCTATATTTAGCTCATCTATCTGTGTGTGTGGGTAATTCATGCCATCATGGTGATCACATGATGGGTTTGTTTTCAGAGGCATATTTCAGAGCAGTTGCGGGTCAAGCGAAGCGAACCTCTGCTGATCGCTTACAGGTAACAAGCTCCTGAGCTGCAAGTAAAACACATGTGACAGCACTGGCTCACGGGGAATCTGGTGAATGTGACTGTGCATGAGCCAGTCATTCAGTGAGTGAGTCATCTGCTTTGTTAGCCTTGCTGATGCTCCATCTGTCCATTTGCAGATACAACATGACTGTACTGGAGCAGTATGCCTACACACTCACCTTCAGAGAAACACACACACACACACAGATGACCACAAGTTGATGTTTGCACTTAATTTATATGATTGTTCCAACCAGCATTAACCCATTGAGAAAGCAGTCATGACTAATATCCACCCATGTTCTCTTCCACCCAGGCCCAAAGCTCTGAGAGTTTGTACCTGTGGGCTGTAAGTGAATTTACACCAACACAGTGGAAGAAAGGTGCATGCAATTACAGGAACTGGATATACACCAACAGAGACTACTATACCTAGATTAAACAGAAACAGAGTGCCTATATATATTTTTATTTGCTCACAGAATTGAAGGGTTTAATTTTAAGGGTTAATTTTAAAGTCAAGAGTGCAATGTTTAAATTCACGGACAGCAGCAGGCTGAAGTGTCATGCTGTGGTTTGTGTGCTGACCAAGTTGTGGCTTACAGAGGCAGCACAGAGTTTCTATGTGACCTTTGTTGTTTGAGTGCATGTATGAATATCATTAAGAAAAGTTTAGCGCTTAACAGGAGAGTGAATAAAATCTAATATTAAAAAAATCATGTTAATCATAGTACATACATGTAACAGCATTACCAGACAAAGGGCAGTTAAGTGCCTTTATACAAGCCTGAGCAAAGACAGTGAGTGAACATAAGGGAGATCAGTGAGCTCACACCCTCATACCGTGCATGATAATGAGCTTTCCTCACAGGGTACGAGTCAGTGTCAGAGACCAGGGCATTGCCTTCTACTCGAAAAAGCCACTTAGGCGAGCTAAGCCTCTCATCTGACTCCTGAACATGGACTCCTGCTTCCCTTAATCACACTTTGTTGTACTACAGAATTAGCTGATTGTTCAGTTAGTCCATTGCCAGAAAAATGAATCAGAAGCAATTTTGGTAAACCATTAACCATTTGATAAATCATTATTTAAGGTATTTCTCGTGAAAAATACAAAACAGCTTTTCTAATGAAAGAATTCACAGCTTGGTACTGTTTTATTTTACTGTAAAACGTAAGTACTTTCAGATTTGGAGCCTTGGGCAGACAAAACAAGCAATGTGAAGACCTCACCTTGTACTCTGGGAAACTATGATAAACCTTTTTCAGTTCTCTGACATTTTATTAAACTAAACTACTAAAACTGAAAGAAGTGATAAATTGATTGTTAATAAAAAAACACTTAGGAGTCTGTTATGTGGTATTAAAAAGAATGTGAAGGTTGGGACGTGGGTGCCACTTTGGTAGGAGGCATTGTATGTACCTTAATACACATTATATGAGGAGCTGCAGTGAATCAGAGGGGAACAGGATTTCCTTGGTTTTAAGGCAGCACCTTATTTGAATGCTGCACTTTTAGCAAGTCAAATTTTCAAAATGCTTGTGCTGTTTGATGCCTGACAAAAACCATCTTGAAAAAGGAAGAGAAGATGTGTTCATTTTACACTTCTGTGAAACCAAACATTTACCACAGCTTCTAAACAAAAGTGGGTTGCAGACAAGAAGGCCTCTCCGACACCCGATGGAGAAACGTAAGGTGTGAGACACTGTGCTCCCTGCACATTGTAAAAAAGCATATTCTTTGCACCACATAATATGTGTAAGCAATGGGTGAGTAATGTGTGAAAGGCAAAGGAGAGGGAGGAAAAGAGATTGCTTTGTGTACTTACAGTGTTCTTCTGGCAAATTATCTCCTGAAAGAAGAGGAAAATACATTGAGAGATTCAACAAGAACATTTTCTCCTGTAGGCAATTTTGCTGTGGACGCTGAATATGAACGTGTTACAAGATTAAAACACTTTTACTAAAATTCAACACATCATACCTGACACAATAACATTTTATGAAGAAAAACTGTCTTTGTGGGAGTTGGGGTGGTTGTCTGTTACATGATAAAGCTTCTGGTATGAGGCACTGTGTCATGCATTATGTGGTAACTGTTGCTGCACTGTCTAGGACAGAAATGTAAAACAAGGTAAGATCACAAGCTGATGTAATGTAGGTTTCAAAATATTCAAGAAGGCTCAGCAGTCTTCAGGGCTGGTTGTCAGTGATTACTCCATAGTGTGCATTTTACTGTGGATGAGCATTTGGCTTAACGTACTCTAGCCTACACATTATGTGTTAATTCCTGGTCTGGTTTAAATGGCAGTGTACATACAGTAGAAAAGGTAGTAAAGGTACGCTGAAAAGACACCCATGTATTATGTATAATTATAAATACTAGGGCTGAATCAGGTCATTGTTCTTTAAAATGCTCAGATTAAACAAAATGAGGCCAGACTCAAAGGCTCTGTAAACTAATAATTCAAAAACATTGACATCCAGTCTTACAAGCAAAAAAGTTAGCGTTAGCTTATCCCAATTATAAAGATCAACTTTTTTAGTAATCATAAGATACTGTCTTAGGCTGAAAACAACTTAAGCCCTCAGGATGCTTTCATACAACAATCAGCCATAACATTATGACCACCGTCCTAATACTGTGTACACAGAAGTCAGTGCGGCATTTGTGTCAATCTGTAGTTCTTTGTGCATCTTTTGTGAATATGTTGTGCTTCCACAGTTCTACTGTCAGGAAGAAGACAAATGTGTCAACCATTCAGGGAAATAGTTATGTAAAAGGGGTGAAAACTGTGGTCGTGAGGACAAGATAGAGAGAACTGTTTAGATAAATTCAACAGCCTCCCTGCTCTAGGTGTGATATCACCACTACAGCCGCTGAATGTTTCTCTTCATAAAGACCAAGATTCAAACAAAATGGAATCTTTTGAAAAGGATGAATGAAATTTAAAACTATAATCTACAGTAGATCAACCTCTACAGTAGATCAACCTCATCATCAGAGAGCCTTGGGTATCCATGACCCTGTGGCTGGGTCTCTCCCTTGCCTTGTTGGTAGGTACTAACCAGTGCAGGCCAGGAACACCGAACACGACCTGCAGTGTGGGAGATGCTCTGACCCAGTCGTCAGACATCACAGTTTGGCAAAGTCACTCAGATCCTTACGCAACCTGTTTTTCCTGCTTCCAACACATTATCTTTGAGAACTGAATGTTAACTTGCTGCCTAATAGACCCAGCACACTGATGGGTGCCACTGTAACAAGATAATCAGTGTTTATTCACGTCGCCTGCCAGTGGTCATAATGTTATGGCTGATCAGCGTAAATGCTTGCTGCGCTATCTGAAACCCCCTCTCAACACACAGCCAGGGGGTTGGTGGCGGTGCTCATGTGTTTGTCAGATAGTTTTTGTAATTTTCCAAAACACACCATCCAACAGTCAGACCCACTTTATCCAGGCCAAGTGTGAGGAGGTGTGAAAGCACAGGCAGGGTTTCAACATCTCATTTTCTTTTCTTACAAAAGTGCTTCACTGAGTTGTGCTGTTGCCCATGTTTGTACAATTCATCACGTTTCTGTAACAGTAGGCTTTTCATCCTGCCTGTGACTGCGGCCATTCTAATGTGTGGTTGGACAGCACAGTGCTGTATATTTAAGGCATACTGAGACCTTAGTCTTGCAGGAAGTCATTTTATATGACACTGAAAGTAAATTTAGCATCTAAATTACGAAACCAATAAATAATCCTTGCACTAACAGGTTTTTAAAATTAGCTTGCCATCTAGTTTTAGAGCAGTCTTACTTTTACATTTTCCAACTCTTACAGAAATGACTTGCTTTAATCCATTTTAACCAGAGATACTGTATGGACCTATTTTTTGTTCTGGCCATCTCATCACTCACTGTAAAGTGATCATTTGGCTGAGCTCCTAAAAACGAAGAGTGCCCATTTCACCTCACCAACATTACAAGATACAAAGCATTACTAACATCTGTCTGTCACCAAGGAGTACAAGGCAATAACTGGTGTTTGCAGAACATCAGTATCACATTAGTCTGAGTTCGTCATGTAAGTGCTGTGATGACCTTTCGGATCTGTTACAATCTGAATCAATCAATAAGGATATCTTCCTCATGTCCGTTGTGTTTCAAAATTTATTCAGAAGAAGAAATTCTATGTGTCTATGGAAACGAGAATTTCAAACAACAGAACTAAAGAAAATCACATCCCCTTAACGTTTAGTTTATTAGCATGCTGCTTGTACAATTCTAAAAGCTGCACAGTATGGGAATACTAAAGCTTCTTGTCAGTCCTGGTGTATTTCTAAAAGAAACTCCAGTAAAATACAATTTAAAAAACCCTGACTTTAAACAGCACCCTCTGAAACAATTTAGTAGCCTGATACAGAGAGACCACCACACACAGGGGGTCTGTTCAGAAGCTAGCCCAGCCAGACACGGGGGCACCATGGCAGACCACAGGAAGCGACAACTCCTATCAGGTCGCAGTTTGCTTTAGAGCAGCAATTTCCCACAGCAATAATAAAGCTGAGAAAGTGCAATAAGTTTTTCTATTGTGCTTATCTTGACTTCTGCATTTAGTCTGCAATTACAGACAAACCTCTCCTGTCAGGCTGTACACTCAGTACACAGTGTGGCTAACATAAGACTCCTCTCTGTACAGAAACCTCCTACAATAAAGACTTTGCTGTTCTTGTGCTACAAGCCACCTACAGAAGGAGGTTTTTAAATGTGCTCAGCTTGAACCTCAGACTGTGTGAAGCACAACCTGTCTGCTACATAGAATAAGACTCACACTGTTGTCATATACACCGTTTCCAGCCATGATGCAATACACATCAAATGTACGCATGGAAAATATTTGCACATTGTCGGGAATAAAGTAACAACCAAAAACCTCCACAGTTACTTCTATTTACAGGGTTTTCTTTGGAGCTGTTTAGCAGAGGTGGAAAGCTACAAAGATCCTAAAGCATCTCATCTTGCAATAAACAATAGAAGTAATCATTACATTTATGGATGATTTTATAAATCTACAGGAAAGGTGGTCTGTCCATGATAAAACTTTGATACATAGCATCATTACCATGGCATAACACTTCCACCTACAGTGCACAATCATCTCATTGTGTTATTTTATAAACAGAACACAGAACAACCAGGACTAAAGTTAAAGCCTCCTCGTTAGAGGTTAGAAACTACCACCTCAAGACACTTGTAATCAAAAAATAAAACTTACACACTGACTGGCAGGGGAGCAGAAACAATTAGACGATGCCACTACTGATTTCCTACCTTGAATTGTTTCATAAATGCATTTTCTTCCATCAAGTTATTGATGTGTTTATGTGCTGTTGCCATCAAATTAAATGTCTGTCAATCCTTTGTCCCCCCCACCTCCTTCTAAATACAGCCTTTAATCACCACCCTCGTGAACCACAGCAATTGTTTGGTCCATGCGTTAAATTGACGAGGGCAGGATTGTCCTGGTTCCTGCTCAGGATGACCGCTAACCTGCAGAGACTGGAGGGAGTCAGAGTTCGTGTCGCAGTACAGGATGATGTTGTTGGCCATGCTGAAGCTCTCTCGGACTCCCAGGTGGTAGAAGAGCGACGGCTGGCGGAAGGCATCCGTCATCTCCACAACAGCAATGTCTGATGGTGAAAGACAGGTACAGGCGTCAGTGCAGCCGAGTGAGAGAAGTATCACAGTCAGTGATTTATTTCAAAGCAGGTCCAATCACAAACTGCCATAAGGAAGAAGACACTTTAGTTCTGTCATAACTGTATGAATAATTCTTTAAAAATATCACCTTTTTAACACCAACAGCAGTACAGACACACAGCCAGACGTTTTTGAGCATTAGTCAAACCTATACGTGAATGTTGAACATCTCATTCCACAGCTGGAAGCTCTGGTCTGCAGCTATAAAGGTGTGTTCGGAGTAGAGGCAGTGTGAGTGTGTACCGAGGCCATGAAATGACACAAATAAGTCCATGTGTGCAGGCCAGTCAAGCTCTTCCACATCAAACTAGGAAAATCTTTTCTGTCCCTCTTCCACTATTAGAGGATGTGTAACCAGCCTTTTTAACTCTGTCAATGAATACAAATACTCCTATTCCAGCTGGACTCAACCATATGATCAGGATCAATAGGTCAATAGGAATAAATATCACAGTGTCACTCAAGCCAACAGGAACTACAGGTTGTGGTGAAGGGGTGGAGAGTTCCCAGCCTGTGCTCACACTAGCAAAACATACTGTTGTGTTCCCAGAGATCTCATTCGCAGGTTGGTGAACTGAACCATGACTAAGTCAGACAGATGAATTCTTGCATTTACAGGGCATTGTGATTAGTTACGTATGTGGTGCTAAACACACGCATCTTCTTGTACAATAAGCACAACAGTGTTACAGAGGCTTATGCATGAGGCGGAGCAGTACATGCTGTCCCCGAGGTGCCTCGAGCCACTGAAAACTGCGAAAACAATTCAGCCTGCTGGCTGCACTCCAGTAATGACAAAGGAGCTGAGAAAGCCAGAGAGATAACACTGCAGCCTGCCTTTTCATGTGCTTCCAACTATTCACCCCTCTGTGTCAACAAACACACGAAGTGCAGCTCTACGAGGAGAGAATCTCTGATACTTTCATTTCAAACATGCACCCGCTGCAGCTGTTGGACTGCTACAGGAGGAAACATTCTGCTAGTCAGCTAATATCAGTTGGGCACCGCAAGCACTTCCACACACTGTGAGTAACTGGATGGTGGGTTTATCCAGTTTGGCCAGTTGCTGGTGGTGTCATAGCCTTTTATTGTGCAATAATGGACTCCTATTGCCTGTGTGTAGAGATTGTAGGTTGTTTTGCAACAGAGACAGAGACATCAGGTTTTAGATTGTTACAGTTTTAAATGGTTATCATCAGTTTTGGACCTAGCAAAGAGAACAAACAGTAAAACAATACATCATAGGAGAAACAAAAAAGTATGACAAGTGCAGAAGAGACCAATGTTTACCATCATCATTAAAGCTTCTAAACCCAGCCACATGCTTCTTGCAGCGAGCTCTGCAAACCAGCAATTACTGCAGACAGTCTGCAGACCTGAAGCATGCCTCTCAGTTTTTGAAACATGAACACATGGGGCAGCACAACTCCTTGCTGATGACCATGACCCCTCTTCCTCCTCCCAACTCTAGATCACTTCCTCTCATGCTCTTCCACTTCTTTGTAAAACACCAGCAGCCAGGAAGAAACTAATTGATTTCTTCCCTCAAATCAAATCAAATCATCTGCTCAGTGTTCACCTGTTTTGTTGTATGCTGCCACTGTGAAAGCTGCAGCTTTGTATGCACACGTTGATGTTTGCAGACAGCGCAGCCACACCAGGAGAGGATATGCGCTCAGAGAAGGGTTACAACCAGACGGTGGTATTTTCATAAAAATAATGATTGGGCGTGAGTCAAGTCTAAAGGTTTAGCAACATTATTTGGATTATTTCATGGATTACGACAGCAACTCACAGTGTCTTTCACACCTGTGTGTCACGATTCGGTTAGCTGGAGCAGGGTTCTTTTTTGTTGGGAAAAAAGACGGGGGGCTTAGACCGTGCATAGACTATCGCGGCCTCAACAAGATCACTGTCAGGAACCGATACCCATTACCACTCATGTCGTCTGCTTTTGAACTGCTCCACAACGCCACGATTTTCACTAAACTAGACTTACGGAATGCCTATCATCTGGTACGCATAAGGGAGGGGGATGAGTGGAAAACTGCTTTCAACACACCAGCGGGACACTATGAGTACCTGGTTTCCCATTTGGGCTAACCAACGCCCCAGCTGTTTTCCAAAACCTGATTAATGACGTTTTGGGGGACATGTTGAATGTTTTTGTGTTTGTCTACCTAGATGATATCCTTGTCTTTTCACCCTCCAGAGCCCAACACATAGAGCATGTCCGGGCAGTGCTACAGCGGTTGTTACAAAATAATTTATATGTGAAAGCAGAAAAATGTACTTTTCATGTGTCTACTGTGTCTTTTTTGGGGTTTGTGATTTCTACAGGCCACATCTGCATGGACCCTGCCAAGATACGAGCAGTTGCAGACTGGCCTACACCAACCTCCTGTCAACAAACCCAACGGTTTCTGGGGTTTGCTAACTTTTATAGAAAGTTTATCAGGAACTATAGCACTATTGCTGACCCGCTCCACTGGCTTACCTCCAACACCAAGCACTTCACCTGGGACACTGCAGCTGACCAAGCCTTCGCTGCCCTCAAACAACA